CGTGTTAATTTGGACTGCCTGCGTGAATGGAAGACAGTACGAAAACATCCCATTTGTCCTTCCACTTCACTGAGAGCAATTCATCATTCTTCAAGCAGGCTTTCTCACCCTTTCTAAGTCGGGTATTTAGAAGCTGTTGGGGGAAACCCCGACGATTAGGTCGCACGGTGCCACATGAGCCAATTCCAAGATTGTACAGATGTCTACATAGTGGCATGCTTGTATAGAGATTGTCCACGTATAAGTGGTACCCCTTACAGAACAAAGACGATGCCAAGTCCCAAACTATCTTGCCACTGCCCCCCATGTAGTCTGGACATTAGGGGGGCTCTACTTCGCTGTCTCTTCCCTCAAAAACTCTAAATTTGTACGTATAGCCTGTGGCCCTCTTACAAAGCTTATACAATTTGCCCCCATATCTGGCACGCTTGCTGGGGATGTACCGTTTGAATGCAAGGTGGCCAGTAAAGTGAATGAGGGACTCCACGCAGATGTTTTGCGTATGTTTTGCATATACTGTAAATTGATTTGGCCCACAATCAAATTGTACAAATCTTCTATGGAAAACAGCTCCAAAAAATCAAGGGGAGTTAAATTTGATGTTTCCACCTGAATTCCGGGTTGGGCAGTGAATGAGGGAAGTACGGGTGCTGCAGAATCTGTGGGCTGCCAATCAGGATTTGCAAGCACTTCTGGAAGGACACTAGTGGCTCTACGAGTCTGTGTGTGAATTCTTGGTGGCTGCGGGACAATACTTGTGCTCACCACTGCACACCAGCTTGTACTGCACTTATGGGACTCGCCATGTCACCAAGTGATACTGCAGTGCTGGTATTAAAAAGATCAGGATATACTAGGCCGCTGGTGCTCACCAGTTCGCCAAAAGGTAGTGCGGCACTAGTACTGGCACTCTGCTGCAAATGAGACAAGTCATGTGATCCTAGCACTTCAGCTTCATGGGGTCGGGTACATCTGATCTTAACAGGGATCTCTTCTCCATTGTCCGAGCTACCTGTCAGGGTGACGCTGCTGTCTACAGGTTCGTATTCTGAGGTAGATTCTATCAGGGAGGCTTCCGCTTTGCTCTCATCTGACATGCTCAGAATCCTGTAGGCCTCTTCACTAGTGTACCTTTCATTGGAAATTTTGGACTAAATTTACAGGTACCTAGTGCGACTTACAGGAAAAAGAGCATCTGGCTGTCAGGGACTGCTTGAACCGCTACCAATAAAATTCACCTGCTTGCGCTGGCAGATATCAGGCCTGATTCTGTGAACACTGCGGTTTTGTGTGCAATGTATTACAGGTGATAGTGATCTGAAATTATACTGACACTGCACTTATCGTTAGGGGTGGGGGGGGGGGGAGCACTGGGGCTAAACGCTAGTGCAGGCATCGAACGGGGATGATCCTGCTAACACTGCGTTTTTGGGAACATTAATACTAAAAGGGCACTGGTATAGTTTTGTTCATGATCAATATATTGATCCGTATAAACACTATACTAGTAATGGTGGTGATCAGCGACCTATAGCATGAGTGCGATAGTGTGCAAGCAATCTAATGCTAGCTGACCCTAGTTGGCAGAGAGACTAACTGACCCTGATGCTATCTGACGTCGCAAGTGGCACTAATACAGTGATCAGTGAAAAATACTGTACACTGACGCTGTACTAAAGGCACTGGCGGGGTGGCAGGGGGCAACCAAAGGGTTAAATGTGGCAATCAAAAAGTTAAAATGTCTCTATCTAACGTGTGGGTGCAGTGTGCTGCTTTTACTCACATGTGATGTCTTCCTTCTCTCTCTGGAACAAAATGGTTACAGGGAGAGAAGAACCAGCTAGATCCTGTGCCTGTATTTACAAATACAGGCACAGCTCTGCATCTCCATTTTATGTAGAAGATTGGCAGAGTCCTGGCCAAAATCACCAGCCGACACCGGCTGACATACATCTCCTATAACGAATGACAGCAGGGGTCAGCAGGGGGGCACACGCATGTGCTCTCTAAACCCGGAAGAGCAAAGCGACGTATGGGTACGTCGCTTTGCCTGCAGCTACCGCCCATTCGCAGTACATTGCGGGCGGGTGGGAATCGGTTAAACTGACACTAAAGCTTTGTTGTTGTTTTTTTTAAAATAACAAACATGTCTAAACTTACATGCTCTGTATAGTGATTTTGCACAGAGCAGCCCCGATCCTCTTCATTTTAGGTCCCCCTGGCGCTCTTGGCACTTCCCCCTTGGGTAGTGCCCCCAGGGAAAGCCGCTCGCCTTGGGGCACCACTACATGCTTGTCCCCAAGTCACTACTTTATGTGTATAAGACACATAGAACTGCAGCTCAACCCCACCTCCCTGCTCTCTCCTCATTGGCCCACTGGCTGTGATTGACAGCAGCGGGAACCATAGGGCTCCCGCTGCTGTCTCAGCCAATGAGGAGGAAGAGTCCCAAGACAGCAGAGGCTACTGAGAACATCACTGAATTGGAGGGGGCTCAGGTAAGAATTAGGGGGGCTGGAGGGGCCGCTGCACACAGAAGGTTTTTTACCTTCATGCATTGAATGCATGAAGGTAAAAAAACCTTGAGCCTTTAGAACCATTTTAAGCAATTAAAAAAACACTGTTCCTTGTCAAATAGAAATGTAAAATATTTTTTTTTTGTGTTCATACCTGCACCCGTGGGCAATGCCCACTTTCCTACCCATGCAATTTTTTTTCACACCACCTTGCCTATTAAACCAGAAATAGGATTAATATTAATTTGAGAGATTTGGCTCTTACTGATTTCAATGGGGTTCGTATTCAGCATTTGATCTTCTTAAGAGTTCACCGAGTTCTGCTTGAAACGAACCCAGGGCAGTCTGGCTCATTCCTACTCACAACACACTAGTAAAACAGTAACATTTGATCTGCATATGACATCAGTTAAAGGAAGCTTACAAAAGTTAGATCAAATGTATTTCTATTTAATCCCTTATTACTACAGGTATGAGAGCAGCTTACATGCAATGGCCATAAAAAAACTGCTAGAACTCTCTGCTGACCAGAAGTCTTCTTCAGTGTAGCTGATAGCAAGTGATAGCTCTACAGAAACATTTTTCATCCTCGGCAGCAAAAAAATGTATTTTATCTATATAATTCATAACTATGTTCCCTTGTTTTCATTTCTAAATCACAAGCTACTTGACGGATGCTCTTAGAAAAGCCTTAACCTTAAGTATTTTCTTCTATAAAATATGAGTTTGTTATGCACTGTGAAATTAAAGCTTAATAGCATTAGAAAAAATATCAGCCAGAAAAATTTTGTGAAAAATAAAAGAGCTTTGTAAACAGAATGATTAGTGAGTGTTGGTAAAAGCTTGGTAACGTGGGCGTAACAGAATGTGTGAATAGATTGTGTTCCTATATTGGCCATTATTCTTGCTTGTTGCCTGGTGTGTACTTTGCAGCTATTTCAATGAACACTCCAGGTGTTTGGTTAAATAGAAACAAGACTTTTTTTTTGTTTGTTGGTACTATTGTGACTACACATAACTGTCATGCAGAAATGCTGTATGTTAAGCATAGAACAGTTCTAGTTTGTAAAATCTGATAAACAGTTCAGCATCACCTAGAGTTCTCAAGGTGCTCTCAGTTCAGTTATAACATCTGACTGTATAGTATCTGTTTAAAAGAAGAAAAGAAAAAGACCACGATTAACACAATTGTCTTCTTCCAATGCAAGTCTGTAATTGGCCACAGAATCAAAGTATCCCCAGTGCAGTAGTCACTTAGAGAGTACAAAAATGTAATATATTGCAGCGTACCAGTCACTGGATGTTGTGACTGCATTTACAGTATTTTCATATTTCCCTTGATTTGCCCCCAGTAATATTGCCAGTAATACCCTCAGTGCCAGTAACTCACTTCATTACCTATACTATCTACTAATACAATAATGTGTAATATTTCAATAAAATATTCCAAATACATATATCACTTTGTCAAATACATATATGTCACTTACATCACAATCATGAAGGAAGTCTTACCACAACCTTTTGCTGTGATTAGCCTAGAGATCAAAATTTAAAGCAAGAAAAATATGTTTTCTTGGAAATTTGAGACCTTACATGATGAGAAGGAAGACATTAGCAGTTTAGGCAATAAACTCTGCTGTAGAATTGACAACATTTTCTTATCGAAGCATTGGATAATATTTGTGTAAAAATGGACTTGAACTCAAAAAGTAAAGATCTGCTATGTTATAGGAAACAGTTAGATAGGTTAATTGTGCCTTAGCAGTACCCTGATAGTCTACATTTTGTCTTGAATTCTTCCTAAAAATAGTAGTGCTCTTCTTGTGCTCAGGCACGCACCATTCTTGCACCTCATAGCTGTATATCAGCAGTTTGAGATTAACCACTAGCCTACAGGGCACTTATACCCCCTTCCAGCCCAGGCCAATTTCCAGCTTTCATCGCTGTCACACTTTGAATGACAACTGTGCGGTCATGCAACACTGTACCCATATCAAATTTTTATCATTTTTTTGAGACAGAGCTTTCTTTGGTGGTATTTAATCACCTCTGGGATTTTTACTTTTTCTTAAACAAACCAAAAACCACTGAAAATTTTGAAAACAAAAACGTTTTTTCTTAGTTTTTGTTATACAATTTTGTAAATAAGTGATTTTTCTCCTTCACTGATGTGCACTAATGAGGCTGCAGTGATGGGCACTGATAGGCTGCACTGATGGACACTGATAGGCTACACTGATGGACACTGATAGGTGGCACTGATGGGCACTGATGAGGGGTCACTGGTAGGTTGCACTGATGGGCATTGGCAGGCATCACTGATGGGCACTGAAAGGCAGCACTGATACATGACACTGATACATGACACTGATATATGGCACTGATAGGCAGCACTGACTGGCACTGTTAGGCGGCACTGACTGGCACTGATAGGCGGCACTGACTGGCTCTGATGCGCACTGATAGGCGGCACTGACTGGCGCTGATGCGCACTGATAGGCGACACTGACTGGCACTGATAGGTGGCACTGATTGGCAGCACTGATAGGTGGCACTGATTGGCATTGATAGGTGGCACTGACTGGCACTGATGGGTGACATTGAAATGCAGCTGAGATGGGCACTGATATGTGGCATTGATGTGCACTGGTATGCACTGATATATGGCATTGATGTGGCACTGATGGGCACTGGCACGTGGCACTGATGAGAACTGACAGGTGGCACTTCTGGGGCCACACTGATCATCAGGGCACACTGATCATCAGTGCCCTGATCATCAGTGTACATGTCCCCTCCGCGGAAAGCCGATTACCGTCTCTCCTCTCCTCTCGAGCTGTCAGCGTGACAGCTCGAGAGAGAGAAATGCCGATAATGCATTTCCTTGTTTACATGTGATCAGTTGTGATTGGACACAGCTGATCACATGACCGAGCCAACATCTGCGGCTCTTTCCGTGATCCACTGTGTCCGAGGGACACAGTGCACCGGCGAGCGCTGTGCTGCGTGCTCCCTGAGCCGCGCATGCGCAGTGACAATGGTAGGATGTCATATGACATCCTATCAGAACGAGAGAACCACCTTGTGCCCATCATTGTACTATAGGGCGGGCGGAAGGTGGTTAAAAGGCATAATTTCCCCTGACTGCTAATCTCACATGATTTCGAGATTTTATCACAGTGCTGTTCACGGTTCTCCTTGATGGAGAGGATGTTGTACCTGAGAACATGCTGACTTGCATCTCATTGCTTCTGCTTCATTCATTCTGTGGATCTGTACTTCCTCCATCCCTGCTTTTACTGTTGGATAATGTACTATACGTCATCAATTATCAGAGGGACAGCTCTGCCATGAGCAAAGTCCTTTCTTTAGCAAGATAGTCACCTTCACAGAGATACGGTATGGATGTGTGTGTAAGAAAGGGATGGTGGCCTTAAAACCCAGGGATGACCAACTTGTCCTCATCAGATAAAAATCTCTCACCCTTATTACAGATTGCGACCACACCTTCCACATCGTACGGCCTAAAACTTATATGCAAGAGAGGCCCAACCCCCCAGAAAACCATATCTCAGTCATAGTCCTGTATCCAAAAAATATGGATAGCAACATGTGTATTATCTATCTATGAAAGGCAAAGGCCCCTTCCATAAAAGGAAAACCATCCAAATAATTCAGACAATGTAACCATCAACTATCCATAATTATTAATGTATAATAGGGAAACCAACCCCAAACAGGTAATTGCACCCCAATTTCCCCGCACATTCGATCACCATGTGTTACAAATACATACCCTCACAGGGATGCAGCAATCATTTTTTTTCTTAACCACAAGGAAAGCATAAAACCCCTCTTACGAAACCATCCCCCTTAAATAGTAGTAAGTAGTCTCCCACGGGGCCTCCCACCCACAACAGATGCTGCCAAGCCTAAATTAAGGCCCAGTCCAAAAACAACAGCATAGCGGCCCCTTCACCACCTCCATTTGTGTCTCCCGCTCAATCCTGGTGTGCTCCAAGCTGGAACACAACCTGAAGTGACATATACAGTAAGTTAGAATTAGAAGTCGCATCATTCAGACCGCATCAGTTGGAACCACTGCACCTAAAATAATCACATTCCGATCTACAGTGCACTGGTTACCCAGTACTACCCTGTGTCCCCAGAAGGAAAACTCTAATGAGGGATGAGGGGGCACAGGCTGGGGAACAAACACATACCCCACTGAAAAACCAAAGCAAGAAACCACTCTGTACCATATTAACAAAACCCACTTAGAGACCTGAACAAAAAACAAAAGTAATCTAAATAACACAAATCACCACCAAAATATACCACATCATTATACACGATGTGAGGTGCACAGTATAATCACAAATCCAATACATGAATAATATACGTACAAAGCTGTCCACCATACTGCCCCGAACTACATCACTGACCTAATATCCAAGTACCGCCCAGCACGCACACTCCGCTCCTCACAAGACCTCCTTCTCTCTAGTTCCCTGGTCTCCTCCTCCCATGCCCGCCTCCAGGACTTCTCCAGGGTGTCACCCATCCTCTGGAACTCCCTGCCCCAACCCATCAGATTATCACCTACTCTCCTCTCCTTTAGGCACACCCTGAAAACCCATCTCTTCAGGGAAGCCTACCCCACCCCCTGCTAACTTGCCTCCCTCCTCCACTCTTCCTACCACTCCATCCCCCACAGCTATCTCCTCCTGTGCCACCACCCCCTCCCTCCTAGATTGTAAGCTCGAAAGAGCAGGGCCCTCAATCCCCTCATGTTTTGCATTGTATTGGTATTGTTCTGTCACATGTTCTGTCTCCCTTTGTAATGTACAGCGCTGAGCGAACTATTGGCGCTTTATAAATACTGTATAATAATAATAATAATAATATCTGATAATCTAAAATCAAACATGCAAGACTATGAAAGCAAAAACCATATAGGGATAGAAATCCCAGCTCCATATAAGCAAGACCTCCCACTGATATCTTCTTTTAGAATAAACCCAGTATATGCATAACATTCCTAAATTGGGGCAAAACTAATTTGATTATTGAGACCAGGGGGTTATGTAGCCTTCAAGTTGTATATCCACCTAATTTTTACCTGTAGAATAATCTTATACATATCCCCCTCTCTAGGAGGATGAATGTATCCTAGCCAATGCCATAAATTTCAGCGTGTCAACCTTGTACTGATGAACGTTCTAGAAAGTGTCTAGTCACCAGACCTTCTAGGTTGCCTGTGGTGATATCACAGACATGATCTTTAGTCCTTTTCCAACACTTTTTTTTGGTTTTCCTGACATAATATTACTTGCAACCACATGTCAATAGACATACAATTCAGGTGGTTTCATAGTTTGCAAAGTGGCGAGGTATAAAATGTTACTGATTGAGTAATATTACATCCTTATTGACAGTAGGATCATTTCCCACATTTGAAGGTCCCTTTGGATACTTACCCACACAGGTCAACCAAACCACTTTTGGAAAAATAACTAGAGACAAGGACACGTTTTGAAAGATCTACGTATTTCTCAGAAATGTCAGATGTATGTACTGTTACAGAACTTTTGCATGTTTCTGTTCTTTGGGACTTGTTTACACAATAAATTTGTATCCTTTTTATGGTTGTCATCCCATTTTTGCCATTTCCATTAGTGTGTTTCTGGTATATATTGTCTAGTTCTTTTTGCTACAATATAAGCTCTCAAATTGTTGGGGGGGTCAGCTATACAAATTCCCTGTTGATTTTTTGTAAAACGTTGGTGATTGTATGCCCTATCCATGATCTCAAAAAATTCCTTCTTCAAATAGAGCATGCTAGAGGGTGGAATCTAATGATACCATAATTGATTCTTTAAGATTTCCTGGCACACAGCCACATATTTCCTCTCTTCCATAATCACTATGTTTCTTCCTTTATATGAGGGTTTAATGAGCATACCTCTCTATCTCTGCAAACATTCAAATGCTTGCAATTGTGTCTCTGTAACATTAGATCTTTTTAATCCCAGCGGGAGCTTCTCCATGTCCCTAGCAACTAATTTTGAAAACAACTCAAGTCATGTATTCATATGTGTGGGAGATTTTTTAACTTATGGTTAAATTCAAAGAGGGGTGTGAGCCCCAAACCATCTGAAAGGTACCCTCAGCCAAAGTGAAATCCTCCTGCACATATCCTTAAAATTTTCCTCCACATCAACCTCTGCCTATAAGTGTGTAAGTATCTTCAAAGCCTTATAGTCAAGTAGCACCTCCTAGTTTAGCTAGGGGGAGCTAGACTCCAATGGTTAGACAGGGGCTGAGCAGCAGTCCATGTGTAAAAGACAGAGAGGGGTCAAATTGTGTTCAGGGCTGAGAGGCTTTGCAGGGCAGCCCCTCTGGAATTTCCCCCTGCTCTAGGGCTTTTGGAAGAAGGCCTTAGAGGCAGTGGGTGGATCTGAGGAGTGGCTGTTTGCACTCTTGAGGGGTCCTAACCAATCCCTAACAAGAGTTTGGCAAGGGGCTGGGCACCCTTAAAAGTGCTGGAGCCTGCTCAGTAAGATGAGTATGGGAGAGTGCCGGGTGGAAGAAAGAGAGAAGAAGGAGTGAGACTGTGAGGAAGAAGGCTGCAGAGAGGCCTGATGGGATGGGGCCCACCTGCAGGCCTGGAGCTGGAAAGGGAGAAATTTTGGAACTCACTGACTCCCTGAGAGACAACCACCTGTATTGCAGGGAAGGAGCAGCCCAGCTTATGGGCCAGGTAGCAACAGCCAACCCATTAGCGGTACAGGAGACGATCTGAGTGAGTAGAAGGAGAATGGTGAGAAACCAGATTAGCCCCTTACTAGTGACTGGTCACCTATTTAAAGGGATAGGAACCGGATACCCTGCTCAGGGATGCCTCCAGATTTCTGGGTGAAGAGGAGAAGTTTAACTAGGGTCTTGTGAAGCTTGTGAATAGTTTCAGGAAGTTTGTCCTCAGTTGTTGGTTCCCTTGGGCATCCTATAAAGTGAGGAACAGAAGTATTTGAACACCCTGCGATTTTGCAAGTTCTTCCACTTAGAAATCACAGAGGGGTCTGAAATTCACATTGTAGGTGCATTCCCACTCTGAGAGACAGAATTTAAAAACAAAATTCAGGAAATCACATTGTATGATTTTTAAAGAATTTATTTGTCTTGCACTGCTGAACATAACACTTAGAAATCACAGAGGGGTCTGAAATTCACATTGTAGGTGCATTCCCACTCTGAGAGACAGAATTTTAAAAAAAAATTCAGGAAATCACATTGTATGATTTTTAAAGAATTTATTTGTCTTGCACTGCTGAACATAAGTATTTGAACACCTGAGAAAATCTGTGTTAATATTTGGTACAGAAGCCTTTGTTGCAATTACAGAGGTCAAACATTTCCTGTAGTTCTTGACCAGGTTTGCACACACTGCAACAGGGATTTTGGCCCACTCCTCCACACAGATCTCCTCTAGATTTTGGGCCTGTCGCTGAGCAACACGGAGTTTCAGCTCCCTCCAAAGATGTTCTATTGGATTTAGGTCTGGAGACTGGCTAGGCCACTCCAGAACCTTGATATGCTTCTTACGGAGCCACTCCTTGGTTATCCTGGCCACTCCTCTCCTCTCATGATATCCTGCTCTCAAGCTCCCTTGTCTCCTTCTCCCATTCTCATCTTCAGGACTTCACCAGAGCCTCTCCCATCCTCTGGAACTCTCTAACTCAATCTTTCCATCTATTCCCTACTCTGGCAGCCTTTAGGCAATCCCTGAAAACTCTTCTCTTCAGGGAAGCCTATCACGCCTTCAATTACACATTCACTTATCACTTCCATCAGCTTATCCCCTAGAGGAATAACCTTTGTACCAATTCCCCACCCTATTAGATTGTAAGCTTTTATGAGCAAGGCCCTCTTAATCCTTTTGTTTTTTATTGTACTGTAACTGTATTGTCTCCCTATTATATTGTAAAGCGCTGTTAGCACTA